TGCGATACATGAAATGACTACGATGCCCTTTTTAATTTATTTTTCATTTATTTTTAACATTTCTAATTATTTCTAATTACTGAAAAATATTTTAATTAAAAAATATATTTTTTCCTCTTTTGTAACACTTAACCACCAGCACCACCATCAGTATATAGAGTTCTATCGGAAATGTGCACACGCCCCTTATCACCACCACCAGAAAATAGAGTTCCATCGGAAATGGGCACACCCATCTCTTTTATTCCTCTCCCGATATGCTCTTCTCCAAAACTCAAAAATAAAAAATAAAAAAATTTGAAACTTGTAACCCAAATGATACTAGAAACAAAAAATTGTTTCAGAAATCTCAAAATCGTTCCAGAAATCAAAAATGGTGTTGGATCCTTTTGAAAACCTGAAATATACACACCAGTTTCTCTCCCTTTGATCTCATCTGATTTTTTTTCCTTAAATCATTGACCCTTCATCGCTATTTGTTTCCTCGTTCTTCTTCCTAATCAGAGAAACACAAAATACAAACACACCTTGTGTATGTATGTTGATGCGATACATAGGGAGAAAAGAGGTTAAGAGAGAGATACAGAAAGAGAGCAAACATGTTGTCACCATTGCCACCCATATGCTAGGGTTTTGAGAAATTGGGATGAGATATGTGGTTTCAGATCAAGAACTTTGGTGGTTTCATGAAGGATTTCACTTTGGGGGTTTTAGATCGGGCATCACCACTACCAGTAATCTCTTCTTCCATTGTGTGTCGTCACCACAGTTGGAGTTCGATTGAGGGTTTCAGGAGGAGGCTGTAGAGGGTGGGAAAGAGGTTGAATACGCAGAGGAGATTCGTCAATGGAGACGATCTATGTTCGATCCGAACCTGGTTCTCCGATCTGAATCTCCCTCTTCTCCGATGGACTTATGGCATGGTCCGGTGATGATACACACCGAAGACGACACACTGAAGAAGAAACGGGGGAAGGGAGATGATCTGTTTAGGGTTTATAGTCTTTCTTTTATTTTTATAATTAAAAACAATAAATAATAAATTTTTATGATAAAAAATAATAATTAATTAATTAATAACAATTAAATGAAAAATAAATCATAAAAGAAATAAATAAGGGCAAAATTGTCTTTTTATGTCCGGAGGGATGAAACGTGCAACTTAAAACCAAATGAAGGACGGTCCGAGTTAATTTTTGAAAATAGAGATTGAACGTGCATTTTGGCACCTGGACCAGGGAAAATTCGTATAATTTACTTTTTTTACTGAAAAATCAGTATATTATTAACTATTTATTTGAACAGTTATTATTATTATTATTATTATTATTATTATTATTATTATTATTATTATTATCACATAAGCCGCTTGTACATCGTAAAAGTTTTCAAAAGAATCATTCACATTTAATGTTTTTAAATGACATAATTTAAGAGAAAACTCTAAAACAACTCAACATATTATCCTTTAATGTTTGAAAAAACAATTACGATTTTCTAATATGTATCTAAGGCAGCCAATGGTGGATAGATTCCAATCCCGTCTCTCGTCATGAAAAGCCAAAACTTTATCGTTTGGAGGTCGGATAACCCTCATAAAATCGGTGCTTGGAAGTCTGCCAATCTTTTATCTTTCCTTATTTAAAGCCCCTCTCAAGATCATTGATGAATTAGAAGGAATCAGAAGAAGGTTTTTATGGGGTGATGGCTCCCAAAAATCGAAAATTTGTTGGATTAGTTGGGATAAAGTTCTCACTCCAAAGTCTAAAGGAGGTCTTGGTGTCATCAGCCTCAAAGGAGCTAATTTATCCCTTCTTGGCAAATGGCTTTGGAGATTAAAAGATGATCCAACATCCCTATGGGCTAAGGTGCTGTTTGTTTTTTTGAACTCAAAATGTCTGCAGTCTGCGGACCACATCTGCAAGCCTCTGCGGCAGAAGAGGTGGACCAAATGTCTGCAGTCTGCAATAAGAAGACTGTTTGTTTTTAACGTCTGCGGGCCGTTAAAATAAATTGAATTTTTAAACTTAGTTTCATGTTATAAATATTAAAAATGTATTTTTAACAAAAAAAATGAAAGAAAAAAAAACTGCACGGTGGCCATGTTTTTTTTTTTTTTTTTTAGGTTAAAATGAGGTCTGAAGACCTTTGAAGACAGTGGCCCATGTCTGCGCCAGGAAGACCTCGCGCAGACGTTTTCTGATCTGCGCACTTCCAAAAAACAAACAATGTGCGAGGGCATATGTTTGCCCGTTGTCTGCGCGACGCAGACAAAAGTAGTTGCGCAGATCTTCACACAAAAAAAACAGCCCCTAAGTTAATCCTAACACTTCATAAATCTGAGCGGGTTTGGAAACTCTTCCCGGTTCGATTGGAATTCACTGGTGTTTAGAAAAACATTATAAGCATTACCAAAGACTTTGTTGTGTGTAACATTCACTTCCATGAGTTGTTAAAAAAAGAATTGGGTCGGGGCAACATGACGTCTTTCTGGTTCGAGGATTGTTCTGGGAGTGGCGTCTTCAAATATATCTTCCCAGCTTTGTTCAAGCTGGAATCAAGAAAGCATTGTACAATTTCTGATATATATATATATATATATATATATATATATATATATATATATATATATATACAAAATTTGGTGACACAATTGAATGGACGTGGGATTGGAGGAGATCACCAACATCAGATATGGAGAAAATTGAACTATCATGTTGCACCTTAATTCTTCAAGAAATAATTCCTAACTCCTTGAGTGATAGGTAGATTTGGTTGGCTGATAACTCAGGTTCATTCTCGGTCCGCTGCCTCCGACAGCTTTGGGAATCATATTCATGTGAGGACTTACCATACAAGCATTTTTGGAACAACTTGGTCCCTATAAAAATTAATTTTTTCGGTTAGTGTGTGGCGCTCGATCGCCTACCTTACAAGGTAGATATAGCGAAACGTGGGATCTTTGTACCTTCCACACTTTGTGCTCTCTGTGAAAAATGCGGAAGAAACAGGTACCCATTTATTTTTGCAGTGTTGCTGGGTAAAAGAAATTTGGGCTTTATTGGAGATTTGGTGTGAATTAAGGGTCAATGAGATTAACTCTCTGGATCAGCTCTTATCTATATCACATGCTTATTTACAATCCCCGTTACAAAAGAAAATCATGCATGCCATAATTATGACCACTTTATGGTTCATCTGGAAGGCAAGAAATGGAAGTATCTTCAAATCGATGACATCATCACCGGTTCAGGTTGTATCTGAAATAAAAGCAAACGCTTTTCTTTGGATAAAAAATAGAGGCAGAGGATTCTCTATAATCTGGGAAAAATGGTGTTCTTTCCCATTCATGCTTCAGTAGTTGGTTGTTAGGTGGGTGGGGGCTAGGAAGCTGGGTATCATTTGGTGTTATGTTTATTGCAGCAAGTGTGAGTGTGGTGTGTGTATCAGTTCATTGGGTAGATATAATATTGGCTTTTGTTGTAGTTTAAACATTTCTTTGGGGTGTGTTCTTTTGTGTTCATTGGGTTTGGGTGGGAGGGATTTACACTTAGTGTTGGCGTGTGTGCTCTTTTTTTTATTGCATGGATATCATTTTGGTGGTCATTTGAATCCCTTTGTATTGGGTTGCTGTCACAACTTGACGAAATTCATATTTACAAACAATGTAAATTGTTGCTCGATTATACCCATGGATGGAAGATATTGGTGTTGATCGTTGAGTGTTTCCGATTTGTTTGATCTCTGATATTTGTGTCTGAGATCGCATAGTGAAGACCTAATGTTTGCTGACAGATCTGCCCTCGTTTTGCTCTATGGATAATGCTTTTGCCGCAGTATTGAGCTGGAATGTAATTACCCTTCTTGGCTAACTGATGTTGGTGACTGAGTCTTTGAAGTATTGGACTTTCGGATTCTATTGGTCTTCCCTCTCCTTTCGTTTTCATTTGCTCTTTTGTTATGTTTAACATCATCTTCTTCATTATCGCTTTAGTTTAACTTTTGTAATTTTGTTTGTTTTTTTTCTGTTTTTTTTCGTTTTTGTTTCCATGTACTCTTTGGTGGTCCAGCTTCCTGCTGGTCACTCTTTAATAAATTTCGTTGTTCAAAATAAAAATCAAATGCATATATAAAAAATATTAATTATGAAAAATATTATCATAATTAAATATGTAATGCATTTATTACGAAGATTATTAATACATCTCACATTTAGTTATGGTAATAATTTTTATAATTAATATATTTCATATTTAATTATGTTAATATTTGTTATAATTAATGTTTTTTTTATATATATGCCCTTGCCTCTTAGGATACATACTAAAAAATCCCAAAAAGATTATGTTATTTTTATATACAATAAAACCATTTTATTTGTTGATGGTGCCTAAAATAATGCTTCGTAATCATAAATCTGTTTACCTACCATTTGTGACTTAAGAAAAACCAAACATATTATCCTCTTATGCGCAGAAAAACCATAATATTGTTATTTTGTACAATAAAACTATTTTATTGTATGATTTTATACAATAAAACAATTTTATATTCTGATTTTGTACAGTAATCAAATATTTTTCCTTTTATGCCATATATTTTTCTTTTGAGAAAAAATTATTGGTAAACTTTTCATTGATTCTAGAAATGAATTACATGTTATAAATTATACAAACTAATCCCAAGGCTACTTATCATGAACACAATGAATGTCAATCTTTTTGTGTTTTCTGCATTGATGTTGCACTAGAATTGAGTTCAAATATACAACATTGAAGTCATCACAATATAAAATGGTAGCCTTGGTGTTAGGGAAATGAAATTCGTGAGGGTATTGCAAATCCAAGATATTTTTGATGACTGCATTACCACCTTATGTTATTCACCTTTGACACTAGAGAGATAAATAACACAATGACACTTGGATGGACACGAGTTGTGGTTGTCAACTAGAAAGATAAAGCTCCCAGATGTGAATCGACGAGTCACTAGGCAAACCCTCAGTTGACATCAAAATAAGCAGTGAGATTTGTTGAGGAGAATATATGAAGTCGGGGACCATGATCAAGAGTACGTTGCATGTAATGCAAGATGTGTATCATGGAATGAAAGTGTACCTCATGAGGGTTAGTCATATCAAACTCATAGTGGTGGAAGAGGCATTCAATGACAAAAGGAGTCGCAAGAATAGAGAGAAAATGGACAAGGAGTGAAGGGAGACATTTTAGGAGATGTATTACCTAGAAAACATTTGATACCATGATAATTAGTAATTTTTTCATTGATTCCGTATATGAAGTACAAATTATAAATAATATAATACTACAATATAATACCTAACTAGTAGTGAACCCATGCTTCGCATGGGGCAGAGGCGTCGTTATTAGATTCATAAGGGCTAAAAAGGTGATGCATAAAATGGCAATGTACTTTTATTTTTTTGTCAAATTAAGCAATGTAATTTCATATGCACTACTACATTATCATATACGAAAACAAAATGAATAGTGAGTGTTGTTTACATATTTGGATCGTATAGCGTAATAGACTATTATATTTTCCATCTCCAGGTCCATAGATAGCAGTCGGACGAATTGCCTCTTTTTCCTGTAAAACAATACCCAACAAAAAACTTGGTAAAGAAATGTCAATTGTTATTGGTATATAAAGTGGGGAATTAATGGAAATAACACCTCCAAGTAGATAGTCTCTCTCCTTGAATCATCGAGTCATTGGGCATGTGTAAAATATCCATATTTTGTTCAATGGTAAAATCCTATATAGAATAGGGATAAAATCGTCTAATTTGTTGCTTCTAGCACCACCATAATGTTGTCCTTCAATATCATTAAGTTGCTAGTCATATTGTAGCATGAATGACTCAATTCAAATGATTTTGATATAGGGGTAATATCATTCATATTTGCAATGTTGCCAATATGGTGCGTCAAACTATACCCCAAAGTGAGGATGATCTTCAACTTCCAAGTTGCTCGCCTTATTGGTATAATTCACCCGAATCATCTATCAACACCAACATATGTTAGGATGAAAATCCTTAATGATTGTCTAGATTCAAAACAAGTAAAAGCAATAACACAACGATGATCCAAATAATGTTGAATGATTAAGTGTCATGCCTCAGAAGAATTCGTTACTATAGAGGTGTGATTAGGGTTACAGAATAATTATCAGAGTTAACTAAAATATGATGCATGCATGCACCTTAAATACTCTAACCCTAGAATTAAATATGGGAGGACAGACGCAACCCGTTTACAAAAAGACTAAACAAAAATCCCAATGACGCAACATCTAATAGACAACAATCTCCCCCTTTACGTCAATTGAGGCAAGCAAACATCAATTTTGGATTCACTTTTGTACTTCAAAAACCTTCGGTATTATGCTCAACAATGCTTTATGAACTTGGACATACCAACGAATCATGTCCGAGAAGCACTTCTTATCACCTTCACTGTTTCCCTTGTATTTGTTGACAAGATCCAAGATGAACTCAAGATAAGATGTGGTATATAAGTGTTTGTTTGGGAGGAAGAAACACATTTTGCAATAGTCAGCATCATTCTTATCCCTCGCTTAAAGACAACATACCAGCTTTCCTTGTAGATTTTTCCAAGCTTCAACTTTTCAAACCCCTCGGGAGCTTCTTTAGGAACAGCCGTAGGCTTATTTTGTAACATTGTAGCTATCTCTACAACATCCATATTTCCCACCTCTTGGATATACGAAATGATCATAAGCTTAAGGTGATGGATGACAGGTTCGTACTTCTGCGTGTCTCATAGCAACAAGTTGTAGAGAATTATCGAGTCATAAGGATTGATACACGGCAAGTCTGCGAGAGTGAACTCTTGAACTTGACTCGCAACAACTCTGACAACTTTGAATTTGGCGTTTGGAAAACTGTTAGTCTCGATTGGTCAGGTGACCTTCATTTCCGTGATTTTGCTGGCACTCCAAGTTTCATATTGCGGCCTCATGTGCTTTAGATAAAATTGGAAGAGAAGTTGATCAGCACCATTATCAACAACAGGAACATTCGCAACCTTTATGAAAGAACGAAACTTTAAGGCTTTAGATGTAATTGGAAGATCCAGTTGCAAGTCCTGAGTATTTTGGAGGTCGAATGACACAACCTGTTCTAACCAATACTGATTCAGTGAATCAACAGCTTGACTTTGAATTCTTTTTATCGTCCAAGTAAGAAACAAGGGTTTCCTGCTTTCAAGAGTGGATGTTGCTTCTCTTTCAGCTTTCCCCTTGGCTTCAACCTCTCTCATAATTATTTGATTATCATCAAGTTCAGCCTCATGCACCTTTCGCCTTTTGAGTTCTTCTTCATCGATGTTATCAAATATTGGCTCCTCAGAAAAAAGGTTGTCTTTGCCTTTAGGCTTAGATTCGCTCTTAATGATTGGCTTGACTGAAGTGGTTGGCTTTACTGAAGTTGTTGAAGTCTTTTTCGGTTGATCTTCCCCTTGTTTTGGAATAACGGAAGGTTCAGGAACACCCTCCAAGTGATGTAGCATAGCGAACACAGATCTTAGCTTTTTAGTAAGATGTTTCCAAACTGTAATTGTTATCATTAGGTCATGGTGTCTATAATATCTGAGAGGAGGCCATTAACATCATATATGCAACTTTTCATTACTGCCTTCTCAATGATCAGATGTTGGATCTGTTTCTCAGCATGTTCGAGCTTAACAGTGAGAACTTTAATTTTTTCGGTTTTAATGGCAAGGGAGTCCCTTGCTTTCCATGGCGATATAATCATGAAGTTTAGATATTTGAGAAGAAATGGATGATTTGAACTCTTCGTGATCAGTGATGATTCCAGTTCCGACTTCTTGCAGTTTTGTTCTTTCTTTAAGAGACGAGCCAAGATTTGCAATTTCTTCATTAGCTCTCGCTATATTGGTCTCAAAAGAATACTGGAAGTTGTTCATAAACGTAGTAGCATCATAACTTAGTTTATCGACTTTTTCAGTAGTTTCGTTGCAGATTGAGGTAGAGGCATTCACAACGTTGTTAATCTTTTCGAGATTAGTTGAATGCTCCTTGGTGAGGGTTTCAAGAATGAACTTAATAGAGGCTTGGGAGTACTCATCAGAAGAAGAAAGTTTAGAAGCCTGAAGCAGAGTGTCAAGCTTTTCGTTTATTGACTTTAATTGTCCCTTTGTAACTGGGGCCTCATCATCACTTTCATTGTGAACAGTGAATGGGCTAAAAGTAAACCCTGGTAACTCATCTTCATCATCCCTATAGATCATTTCAGGATCATCTTGGTATATTGGGGAAATGGATGGAGAGACATGAGATGATTGAAAGCCTGAAGTTTTAGCCCCTGCATCAGATGCGTTGACTGAAATAGAAGGTTCTCCAAAAGTTGTTGGAGGAACAGTGGAATCAGTGTATAAAGGTGTAGATAAGGGAATGGTGCTTTGAGGTTGAGATGAAATATGTGGAAGGCATGGTGCAATAGCGATCGGTGTAGTGGTGGTTTTAGGAGGAGAAGGAGATGGAACAAAATCATCATGAGTGGGTTACCTTAGGATTTGATGTCGCATCTTCGTTGCGAGCAGAATCTTCCTCCTTGTTACGAATTGGTTGTTCTTGTTCGTTACGATCATCTGATTGAGATTCAGACTCCGAAATTTCATTTTCGCTTGGAGTGGTCGACTTGCGCTTGCGAGCAGGTTGCTTTCACTTTTTAGGAGCATCAGTAGAAGGAGCAGCTTTTGCCTTTCGCTTTGTAGGCGGTTTTGCAGTTGCTGAAGGTCCTTCCTTATCAATTGTTTTCTTTTCTATCTTCTTCGCACCTTTTTGTCCCCCCTTCTTAGGTTTGTCTGCTTCAACTATTATTGCTTCCATTTTTGGAGTTAAGGGATGAAAGCTCGAAGCAGTCAGTTTCCTGTATCCCTCCAAGATTTTGCTAGACACAGGAACATCACGGAACATTGTCTCTAGAATTGAGCCAATGAAAGAGAACTTTGAAGTATTAGAAACAATAATACCAGTGGTGTGAATGGTAGAGATTGAAGCCATTATTGCATCTTGCATCAGTGGGATCTTAAGCTTTTCAATGGACCTTTGGACAATGATGGTCCAAAAACATGCACAGGATATTTCACTATGACGTGTGGTAGAGAGGGTGCTCTGAATAACTTGAGGCCATAGAACAGACCCATAATCGACATTCAAACCTATGTAGAGACCATAATGAATCACCATGAACATCTTATGTAACGTCATGATTTTTACTCCATTTTTTTCTTTTCAAAACATTTATTTAACAGAATACATTAGCGGAAGACTTTGTTTTTAATTCAAAACATTTTCAAAACCACACGTTACCATTTTCATAACCAAACATTCAACCGTTTAATTGTTGCAAAAAGAGGTTCAAAGGAAAATAAAAACCAAACGTGCTCAAGTGGCATATTTATTAAAACTAACTACCCAAAAGGAACCCAACCTCACCAAGCCATGCTCCTAAGCTACCTGTACCAATCAAAAGGCATCCAACAAAGAAACAAGTGTTAGCAACCGCTACGTGAGCCGACAAGTTGTACACAACCAAAAAGAAAACACACAATTCTCGTAAGGGCCATCCACGCAAATCGTGATAATAACATAGTCAAGAAAAACAATTAATATGATATCATAATTTATTTCAATCATATAGTTTTCAACTTAATTCAACAGATTATTACATATAATTTAATTCACCGTTTACTATATGTAATTTTTAATTCAACCGATTAACTACTTTGGGGGTTCCTTAGGGATTGTCTACCCAACAACTTAACCCCGTTCACTACTCGTGTGCTCAACCAGCTTAGTGCTGTAAGTGGCTCATGACTTCCACCCGAATACACCAACCCCAAGACTTCCACTTTCGCTGCTCTGACTTGCAAAGTACAAGTACTTCACTGTGTCGTTCAGGATCGGTACAAACGGTGTCAATTCTACCGATACACCTCCCGACTCCCACGTGATGTTTGATCCTAGCCACACCATAAAGCCAACACCACTCCAGTTCCCGTACACCAAGGTGCACACGAACCACGTGTCACACGACCATCTAGAAAAGTATGTGTAACTAATCACTGTTATAGCTTAAGCTCTTTCAACCCATTAGACTTGCAAGGTTCTACCCATGTCACCTTTATACCCCGAAAAAGCATGCATACACCAAAATAATCATGTTAATCATATAGGTTAAATGAGCAATTATCATGTAATGAAGTTCATTAAGTTGTCACCATACTTTAGCATATAACTACCAATTCATGAAACATCATATTCGCATGCAATTTACAACTATTACATAACATGAATATCTCCATAACAACCGATACCAAGGAATAACCATACATAAGATGAAAACAGCATATTTTCAATAATTATCACAAGCATTTATAAATCTAGCATGATTCCTAATTTGCATCAACAATCCACCTAGGAGATGTGGTTTTCGGTTATGCACTAAAGTCAACAAAAATTATCGACTCACTTTATGTTTGAAGCGAGTTCTCCTTTTTAATTCAAGCCTTGACCCTTCTTGAAGTTGTCAAGTTTTCACCTAATAATCACACATACCAAGCAATCATCAAAATGGGATCCAATTTTCATTAACACCTTTAAATTTCTTAATGGGTAACATATTTTTTTTAAAGTTTCACAGCTTGACCACTGTTTAGTGTTTTGGTCATAAAATAGAATATGTAACTCTGATTGAGCTGAATCCAGAATTTCTGAAAACTAGACTCGATTTCCTACATTTTATCAAGTGAGGGGGCATCGGCCAATTCTACTCAGATTAGCAGTTACAGTCCTTGCAAGATGAGGCAAAGTTGCTGCACAGATTTCCAATAATTGCCAAAAATCACCATATGATTCATGACCTTGGACAAATGATTAAAGCCACATGATTTAACACACCAAAAGCTGGAATGAAGGTATTAAGACATAAATTAAGTTGTTTATGAAAAGACCAGAGAGTTGACCAAAAGATGATTGACAGTAGGACGTCCTTATACACCGAAAATCTACATACACCAATAAAGACTTCTATTAGTTCAAAATCAAGATACATGTAGGGATGGACTTTAAGTTAACTTTAGACACACATTATGTAGTATTCACAATTTTTATTTCAACCTCCAAGTCATGGTTTTGGAGACCAAAAATACAAACAATACTACCAAGAGTTGTGAGGACTTTCAAGCTAGACTTTTGACACAATCTTTGTTAGTCCAAACAACATCATAGTTACCCACATATCAACACATATCAAGGACTATAGGGGCTGTTTTGAGGATCTTAAGGAGTGCTCAAAACATGACTTCTATGTACGAAATTACCACAAGATTTGAGATAAAAGGGACAAGAGATATAACCAATGATAATTTTTATTTAATTAAAACATCGCTGCTTTGCCAATTTTTCCTATGATAATTTCCCAAATATATAAATATATCTACGTAACTATATATATATATATATATATATATATATATATATATATATATATATATATATATATATATATATATATATATATATATATATATATATCAATTAAGCTGTCTAACAATTTGTTTTGTTGAATAATGCTCTTACTAGTTTCTTTTATTTAATCAAAAGGATAAACAGTAAACATGTTTGGTAGTAATATAAGCCTAGTACTAAAAGTAAATCATGGAGTACCTCTCATTACAGCCACGTCATCATCTTCATGACCTCATGTCAACGAACCCAAATAAACCAACCACGTTGACCTACGCTCTTTACTGAAAGCAAATCTTAGGATAACAAGGCCGACAGCCTTGCAACTCTCTCGCCGGAAAACACAATCACCCACCCTTTCACCGGAAAATCAAAAACGAGTCAGCAAACCTTTGATGGAATGTTACCTTGGTAGATGGTCGCACATGAATGGTGGGTAGAAACGAACCCATTTGTCATTCCTTCTCTTCTCGTTCTCGACTCTCTCTCACTCCATCATATTCTTTATGTTCGTTTTTTCCCTCTTCCACTCTCTCTCATTTGTTTTTTTTTTTCTATTGACGAAGTAGCAGTCCAAAAGAACGATACATGAGATCATTTAAACGCCCCATGGTAGCCGAAACGAAAGAAAATGAAATGTATGGAGTAGGGCAAGAGATCAACGCAAGAATACAATGGCATGGATTTTTTTATTTCATATTTACCGTTTTGGTCCCTACCGTTATAAGCTTTATACACTTTTGTACTCATATTCATCTCTTCTTATAAATTCATATTTCTAAAATTACATTTCATCCCCTTGACTTGTATTACTTTCATATTCTTTATTCAGTTAAATTATTTGACTTTGAGATATATTCACTAATACTTTTACGTACTAATTAATGCATTTTTTCTTTAACTTATTTCACTTTATACCCTTAGATTCGAAATAACTTTACAAAAATTAATATCCGTGTAACGAAAGACTAACATTGTTAACGTAATAATTTTTGGGTCGTTACATCTTACTAGCACAATCGGATCCAGTCACTCTTTCAGAAAAACCTTTGAATAGTAAAGTGAAAGACCATTCCATTGAGGAGGCAGATTTGGTTTCCTGAACTTCGAGATGGTGCTTAGGGTTTCTTTGTAGTCCATTTGGTAAAACATCTCTAGAAGGGCCGCACTAGACACCGTTTCAGGGTTGATCATCTCATTTGTCTGTGGAAGCCTTAGAAGTGAACAAAATCGAGTTTTGGTGATGGAAGTTGTGTGGTTGTGGATTTCAAAAGTAATCCTCTATTATTCCTTGATATAATTGGCAAAAGAGTAAGATTTATACAACATCGACATCGGAACATTCTCCATCTTGGTGAGTGCAACAGTCAACGGAGAATACTTGAGACATTTAACGACTGGAAGCATAAAATTGTCGTACTTGCACGGCTCGAGATCGATCACCAAGTTCTGATGTTGCTTGATGTCTAGTAGGGAGGAGTGTGCAGTTTGATCTTGAACAAAGACATTTTCAGAGGAACCCGTCATTGTTGAAGCTTGAGAAAGAAGAAGATGAATAGGAGAATGCTATGATCATCGGAAATCTTTGAGAGGATTTGTGAGTGGTAAAGAATGAAGAGTCATCAAAATCCTTATATACTATTTGATTTGTGAGAGAAATACGGAGAGAGAATACATCGGTTACTAAAATGTTGCCTGAAAAAGAGCAACCTGACAACTATAGATGTTAGACCCATGCGTCATACGGCGGTAAAGTAGTTGTCCATTCAAAATTTCATGCACCCATTTGAATTTTTATCGATAGGAATTTCTGCGTTAGCATTGCCCCTTTCGCAGTTATAACTGTCCAGTCTCTTATGAATATGAATTTCGTTTTAAGAGAACATAAGTTGAACTGCGAACCTGAAAATAAATGTAAGTACCATGAACCAGACTTTTTGAAAATCACAAAGATTTTCGTGCAAGAGTGTTAAAGATATACAAATAAAACAACACTTTTATGTGGATTTTATGATGTCTAACTAAAGACATGAAACTGTGGATCTCGGGCATAGATCTCTTCCTTCAAAATCAAAAGAGACTAAGAAGTGTCTGTGTGGTTTCCTGTTGAAATACGATCAAGTGTTTGATAAGAAACATTGAAAGGCATCTTTTAGTAGGCTTACAAGGTGGCTTCATCTTCATCCAAACTCCGAAACTTGACATAAGT